CTTCTATTGGTTGAGAAGAAGAAGATTTTTAAAGATTTACCTATTTTCCCCCTATTTGGCCCCGCCCCTCTGCCCCCAGGGGGGTTATACCCTCCGTTTATACAAAACTGAGAACCCTTTGGCCAATGATGCTCCTGACCAAATTTCGTCAAAATCCTCTGAGCCATTCAGGACAAGTAGCATTTTAAAGGAAAAAGTTGCCGGACCAGGTGAGCTAAAAATGCATGTAAACTTGAACTTGTCCGAGCTATATAAGTATGCAAAATGTGTACAAAGTTTGAGTTCAATCAACCCAAGAGAACTCAAGTTATGTTTGTTTCGGACGACACAACTGACGATGCTGACAAGTTATACCTATATGTCGCCTCACGTTGCAGGCGACACAAAAACTGGCCCTAGTACACTACCCTGCGGGACTCTGCTTGTCATCTTATTGGTAGCTGATTCTATCCCAACAATCACCACTTTCTGTTCCTTATTACTCAGAAATTCTATGATCCATCCAAATATATTCCCTTCAATATCATAAGTCTTAGATTTATTTTTTAACAGTCTTATGTGAAGTACCTTATCAAAGGCCTTCTTGTAGTCTAGGTAACATCAATCTGTTTGCCATAATCTACCACCCAAAATTTCCAAAATCCATGTTGTTCAGTGAATATCAAGTTGTGTATATCTATCCACGGAATCAGATTATCTAAGTCTGTGATCTATCCAAGAGTTCCACAAAATCATCTCTCATTATCTGTTCAAGCAATTTTCTAATGACAGGTGTCATACTAATTGGCCTGTAGTGCCTGCATCCTTCTTATTACCTTTTTTTAAAAACAGGTGTTACGTTTGCTGCTTTCCAAGATTAAGGTAATCTTTGTCCATCTATGAATTTCTGGAAGGAATTAAGGGTATCCATTATCTGGTTCAGCCAAATTGCTCAAGGGATTACTCTTCCAATGGCTTTGCCTATTCTTTCCTCTGTGATAATGATTCGTCCCATATTTACATCTGTTATGTGTTTCTCAAATAGAGATAAACAGTCTGGCCCTTCACTTTTAAGACTTCAGCCTTCTCCAGATTATTGGTGGTAAGTTTTTGTCTACCTTTAACCGATGATGGATCGATGTTTCCCTTGGTTTTGACCTTGAATCTCACATAGTTCCAAAATATTTTAGGTTCTGTTTTAATTTTCTCATTAAGCGACCCTTCCTGTCTGCTTTGTTTCTAGCTATTTTATATGATTTAAAACTTGAAGTAGCAAAGGTGTCAACATCTGAAACCTCCAATGAGGGAGATCTCCCTCATTCCACATTTCCAATGAGAGAGAAAGTGCATGAAACAGGACTGAAACTGCTTTGCTCAATTTATCTTTCCTTTTTTGTATCAAAATAACTCCAAAAAGCATTCATTTGATTCAGACACACATGTTATGGTCATTACACATAACCTGCTATAACTGAGAGATAATTTGACCTCAGGATGTAGATTTTGAGTATGTGTGAGTTTGGACTTTAATGAGGGAGTTTCCATGGAGATTGGTAAATTTTGGTCAAAACTTGGGGAGTCTCCCTTCTAATGAGGGAGGGTTGATAGCTATGAAGTAGATGTCACTTTGGTTGTAAACAGTTTGGTTGTTCATATTTTTATCAGTATAAAAGAGACTTAAAAGGGCAAGACACACATTCTTACTACAATATACTTTCTTCATTATTCATGCAGTTAGCTCACACCATTGTCAACTTACCAGGCTTCTGTGACAAACATCTATAAGGTTCTGCTTATAATTATTTCTACCTCAACTGCTCGCATGCTCATCTAAAGATAGAGTGAACAAGAAGTAGATAGTGGAGAGCAAATAAAGAAAGCCTAAAGGAAGTGACATAGATAGGTATGACAAGAATTTAGGCAAGCAAAGCATGTGTTAATTGTGCTCAGGTGTGATCATGTCAAAATCACGTCAGACTGGTTTGGTCACATTCCACAGACCATGTATACACTTACACTGGACAAAGTTACATGTACAACAGGTCACACAGGTACATGTACAACAGGTCACACAGGTACATGTACAACAGTTCACACAGGTACATGTACAACAGGTCACACAGGTACATGTACAACAGCTGGTCACACAGGTATATGTACAACAGGTCACACAGGTACATGTACAACAGAACAAACACAAGTACTAAAATATATAACATGGGTTACATATAGATTAACAGTGTGTGTATCTTCCATCTTGTCTTCTTGGTTTTGATTGCTAGATTACTAGAGTGGTGTTCCTTGTCTAGAACATGATGATGTTTTCCTCTGTTGGATTTTTTATTACTCATTGGTATTCATGTTGTTCCTATTACTCTTAATAATAATTCAGTAAAAAAACTCCAAAGCTATAGTTAGTTTAGACTATCCTGTTCATGGCGTCTCTTTTAGTTCTTGAGAGGTCTTCCCTGATAATTTCGTAATTAGCCTTAAAGTAGTTCCTTCCAATGATCACTGGACCCAAATCGGGACAGTATACCAAAAACGGGACAAAAAGAAACTGTCATGCAAAAATCCATGTAAAGATTTGATAAAACTTTTATGACAATTTAACTGTAAGCTTTATTGGCTGCTGATTATCATTACATGGACAGTTTAAAGGTAAGAACAATTACCAAAACAAAAATTTCCTGATGTACGACGTAAATAACATGCTGTGCAACACCATTTATTTGGATATCATTTTTAAAAGTCTATTTATAATCAAAACTAGTATGGAGAAGAAATTTAATCAGAGCCCATGTTGACTCTAAAATAATTCAACTATATGCATATTTTTCTGTCATTCCCAAATATTCGCCCAAATACTGAAGTGTCCCTTTCAGGGTACAGTAACGACGCAGGTTCAAGGGTCTATGTAACTTTGATAGTATTTTGCGCTCTATTTATAGAACAACGTGCCCGTAATATCAATTTATAGTAAAAATGAAATGTGGATATGAGACTCGTAGTCCCAGTTCTCTCTTTGTCTGTAGATGTTCACATCTATACAATGTATATTCATGAAAAATGAAAAAAACATTTTTTGGAGCTGATAGTATATATGGTATAAAGAACATTGATATTTATAGAAGTCTATTTAAAACGTGTCCAGATTTGGTTACAGTGACGTTAGCTATATATAGGCATTAGTTACATTCAATATAATTCTTTGTCAAGCAGACAAAATTAAAAGCCAAAGATGTTCACTAACTATATATAGGACCGATGTGAGCATGTCATTAGTGACCATTTTTTTCTTCAAGAAAAAAGGTATAGGCCTAATTATTTTATTAACTTTAACAATTTACAGTGTCATTGGCATATTATAGGCTATAAAATCGTATTATGTGACATGGTTACTTTGAAAATACGTACAGCACCGTCCGTCTTGTACTTTGTTTTGTGTACTGACGTACGTGGGCAGAAATATTATGTAACACACAAACAGTTTCGGTTTAATTCACCAATATCTTACAATATAATGCATGTGTTCTAATAAACAGGAATCACCTGTTCTTTTGGATCATGAGACACTAAATATTTAACGCGGGACCCCGTAGATGATGCCTTTTGTAAAAACTGTAAAAAGCGCCGTTTCGGCATCATGAGAGTTGTACGTACTTGATACAATGGACAAGGTTCAGTTTAGACTTACATAGATGAATGAATCCAAATGGTTGATAAAGAAACAGTATCACGATGTGTCACTGCGTAGTAAGTGTCAGGTCGATCGATTTGTTGCTGTGATGAGGATGACTTTTCTAACTTGTAGCCATTTTTTACCAGTGGCATGACTAATGCATAAACCGGATACGGACAGGGATACAGTCCTGTATATAATTATTGAAATAATTTCCGTCGACTTGGAATTGTTGAAATTATTAATTGTATGTTTACCGCTGAAAATATACTGGTTGATAAAATCCCTTCTTAGATAGACATAACTAATGGACTCGCAAAAAATACTCCGAAATCATGTTATTAATATGTTTAACCAACTATATATATATGTACTATTGTAACTTTTATAATTGAGCAGCTGACAGCAGAGGAAATTGTACAATTTCCTACAGTCAGAATAAATCTGTGTATAACTAATAAGGCATAAGGCTAAAGTTTAGTTATTTTCACCAGCGGCGTAGCAAATCATTTTCGGAGTGTATGCTTACATAGCTGTAAAAACACCTGTGTTCTGGGAACACCTTTTAGTCTGATAATTAACAAGTAAACGTGTTAATTACGGATTAACTTGAATATATTTTTCATAGTGTATTCTCATAATAAACCGCTGCTTCGCGGTTTATTTAGAGTACACTCCGTTTTTTTTGTGTTATTGCTCCATAACATGAAAAATATATATTCAAGTCAATCCTTATAATTTAATCTATACACAATCCCTGTGGAAATCCACTGTTATTGATGGACTCTTTTTTCTTAGAAATTATTGCGCCGCTGTATCAACCAATCAAAAGCGACGTTACGAATGGCGACGTCATTTTTTTACGTTATGGGATGATAACATATTTTTTTAAGCAAATGGAAATGCTTGTTACAAGCAAGATTAGATTAATGCGAAACAGCGTTTACAGTTCGTAGTTGATTGCCTTGATAGGCTAGGGCAACTTCGCGAGCCAAGGGTGACCAACGATACTCAACACCCTTGGCTCGCGGCGAAGTTGAGGCTAGAGGGCAGCAGGGACGAGGGGTGCAACAGGCAGTGCATTTATTTGTTTTGTTTTTCTGTTCGATTCACCTGCGTATCTACACGCATGACAGTACAATTTTTCATTAAAAAAAACCAAGAATATATTGTATGTTTACGTGTTGTAAATCTATTTAAATTGTATTGCATAGAAGATATGTAATGGTTTCCCGTTGAATACCACATATATTTCACAAGCATGGCACAATATCGATATTCCCACAAGTGCACACATATTGGTAAATTTGATCATGACATACGAGTGATATTTATATATGGTATTCAACGGGAAGACCAATACATTTTATATTTATTACGTTTCTTTAAAGCAGAGATGTAAACAGGTTGATAAAACCTGGTATCAGATACGTCTCTGCTGGTATTAACCGAATCAAAAGGCTATAATAATAGTAATATCCTAAAGTAATATTTGTATAATGTTCAGGAATGTAAGTGTATAATTTCCAATAAAAGAAAACAACATCCTGAAATCAAAGACGTATATATTACGTCTCTGCTGAAATCAATGTGACTTTTGTTTATCTTAAAGTACAAACACATCTGAAATATTTTCAACTCTTCAATGTAGTGATTCAGATTTTCAGATAAATTACTTTTCTGTTTTGTAATTGATTGTAAGATGTTTGACATAGTTAAAAGTTAAGGCCGGGAAGCGATTCAGAACTCGCAATCAGACCATTTTCATAGGCTACATTCGCGTATCCGGTTGAAACGGTTGAACCGGTTGAACCTGTAAAGAAAACGACAGGTACAGATTTGGACCGAGGCTGACCTCAGGAAAATTTGGTACCTGACCAAAACTAAAATGCTGACTATTGCCAATTAGCGTTATAAACAATGTCAAGTCACTTGTAATTTTTAAGATACGTTATGTAATTTAGTGGACGCGTGAGAGAAGGGCATACTATTCTTGATACATTGTTTTTTTATTCTCCGAAACTGTGGATTTTTAGCTCTGCTTATAGAACGGTCCAACTGTGTTCGTTTATCGTGGAAAATTTCTGCGCCACACGTACCGTTTCAACCGGGATACGCGAATGTAGCCATATATACTAGGTGGTCAACCAGCTCTTTTTACCATTTCTTTTTTATCAGTTTGTCAATATCATTGTTTTATCGGGAATCACGTGAAAAAAATTGCGGCAATCAGGAGTAGTGAAAAAAAAAATCATTTCATTATGAAATATACAGTTCACATATCAATTTCAACGAATGCAATGCTTTCCAGGAAGACCGAACTCGCCACGGTCTCCCCTACAATAAACATTGCCCGGAAAAATCTAACCGGTTGTAGAACCCTTAATTAGACATACAATGTGTACATCCGGTAGCTGACCTTGTCGAATATATTCAGCTGTGATATTTTGAGGTAGGTAATTGTGCGACTGTAGAGTGTCATAGTCATGTCATTGGTTCATATTAAATAGTTATATATTGGTTAACAATGTCTTTTAATGTTAAACATTCAAATCCACAATAGCACGCCTTGTTTTGGGTGAAAGTAGTCTGCGGGAAAAGGATGGGGGTCTCTTTCAGGTTGGGCACAACGGCGCATATGGGTAATCCTGCATTTGGGTAACATCTTTGTATGTTATGGTTGAATGCACTACGAATCTACTTTCACTATCCTATATAAAAAATCAAAATTTTGAACTTCACTATCTTAATTAAAAATCGCTATTTATATGGTTATTATAAACAACTTCTGGTTGAACGTTTTTTCGTGATTTTAGATGTCCCAACTATTCTAAGGCTTCAAAGGTCGTGAAATACTTTCAAAACCAAAAACTGTTCAACCAAAAGTTGTTTGTAATAACCAATAGATATGGCGATTTTCACTAACGTAAGTGAACTACAAAATTTTGAATTTTTTATATAGGATAGTGAAAGTAGATTGGAAGTGCATTCAACCATAACATACAAAGATGTTACCCAAATGCGGGATTATTACCCATATGCGCCGTTGTGCCCAACCTGTCTATGCGAGCTTATCAACAATAGTAATCGGTTTATTTGGATAACTGTGAAGTTTTCAGTACATGTGTAAGATAAACTTACAATAACATGTATTTAGATTAAGGATTGGAACTAGCTTGCTTTGCAAAATCGCAGACGCTGTCTCAATATCTAATTATATAGTTCAGTTCTACCTCAGTCTTGTTTACAATATAGCTGCACGACCCACGTATCATCCAAGCACAGGAGTCCAACTTACTCCAACAGTGTTAGAGGTTTACACACTGAGATACTTTTGACAGGAACCGTGTAATGTCACAGTCAGCAAAATCATATCTAATAGAAAAAAGGTCGACCAGCGGTCTCTTATGATATACATGTGTAGGAGTGTAATATTAATAGGATGAAGAATAGTAATTAATGAAGATAGTGCCGTCGCTGGGGCTCTTATTGATGGTCAAAGCGGGGCACAGGCATGACATATCAATCCATATGGCTTGTTTTATAGTATAATGGGTATAATTTGGGTTTGTCCGTCTGTCTGTCTCGCTTCGTTACTTTGCAATAACTACAGCAAATGTTAACCAATTTTCTTCAAACTTGGCAACAGGGTTAAATGCCTTAAGGGCTTGGCCAAGTAGGATGACCACTTTCAGCGGACCCCATTTGACGGATAAATGGCCCATTGAATAACGAAAAACATCCATATCTGCCGCTTCTGTTCATTAATTCTCGCAAATGTTATCCGATTGTCTTCAAACTTTACTTAGTAACTGGGTTCAACACATTGAGGGCTCAGCAAAGTTTGACAACCACTTTAAACAGACTCCATTTGACAGAGTTATGGCCCCTTGATTAACCAAAAACATCATTATCTGCAGTTTCTGCTTAATAACTCTAGCAAATATTAGCCAAATTCCTTCAAACTTGATAACAATTAATGTTTGTGCTCCTCTGTCTTTCCACCCATCTCGGCACTCTTTGGTTTTCGTGTGATAATTGTTGTAGATATTGTTTAAAGATGTTTCAACCAAATTCCTTATGCACATCCAACTCTTGCTAAGTTTTCCAACCAATGTGATTTGTGCATACAGTTTCCTGATCAGGAATTCTCAATACCATAAATCTCTTAATAATTCTAGTAATTTTTTGGCTCTTCTTTGTTCCAATTATGTCATGTTGCTTAATGTAATAATTAGGCCTGATTATATGCATTTGAAAATTTTCAGATCATGGCTGTTAAAGAGTCATCTAATTGGAATCCCTGGGAACTCTTCAGAGAATCCCCAAAGGATCTAAAAAATACTGAAAATAGGAAGGCACTGCGCACTGTTGCACGAGCTGAATGGGTTAAAAAGAAGACATCTCCTTATTCCAGTGGCACTGGTTACATTGTATGTATAAAGCTAGTAGAACAGAATATTTCAAGGTGTCCCTTTTTAATGTGATAAAATATATTATATATTATACAACAGCTGTCTTGTCATGGCATTTATCTCACTGAGACCATATTTGATTCATTTTTGTAAAACTGAAAACCACATTTTTTTAGGAAAATTTCATATTATGAATGTGTTACAAAGAATTGGTTCTTTCTTTCTATATCTGATCCCCTGTCAAATTATTGTTGCATAATAAATATCTTAATAATATATATGCCTGATGTATCAGCATCATACAGTTACGAAAAATACATTGTAATTTTCCTTGTTTTCAGTTTGATCCATCAGTGCAAAGACACATTGCAGCAAGAGTGACGAGATTTCAACACTTTTCAGTCACAAACAACTCAATTTCCAAAGTGTTTCTCCTGTACATACTGCCGATTTCTCTTACTTGTTATGTGTGCCACAAATATCGGGTAAGTAACAATGTTCAAGTCAGGTTGGCAATCATATGACATTATTATTCACTCCCTATGTTGAAAATCTAGAGTTTTTTCCAATTTACGAATGTACAGCAAAATCTTAATTTTTTACTCACTAACAATATGGCAATTTGTGAAGACTTCTAAAAGCCTGTCAAAGTTGATTCAATAGCAATATGTTTAAAGTGTTGTTTGGGGTCTGAATGAAATCAATGAATGTCGATAAAGTGTAAAGCAGTTTCATTTTAAAAAACACTATTATTTTCTTGTCAAGGTCTGGTCCAAAATAATTCAGTAGGTTTAGAGGAACTAAGAGTTTTTGCAAACAATCAGCTTATTTCCTAATGTTTTGAGGAAAATGGACATATATTACTTTCCAGGAGAAGTAAAATAGGGTGGGGGCATAATTGTAGTCATCCGCTCTGTTACTAGACATTTATCAAGAAGGGAAGGGTTAATAGTGTAGAAAGAATATAGACAGATTTTCAAAAGTTAAGGGGGATGTACATACAACATGTCTAACTCTGGACAAAAAGACTGTATAGATTAGAAGGACAAAAATGTTTTTCCTGGCAGCCATCTTGGAATTGCCATGTGGTGCTTGCTTTCCATAGACTAAATTAAAGAAAACAACCTCCATATCAGAAATTTCTGATATGGAGGTTTTTTTTCTTTCCATTTCCATGTTCTCTTTTAAGCATGCACTTGTGCAAGTACTTAAGGGATCATGCAAATCAAATTGTAACATGACCTTTGACAGTTTTGTTTTATGCTAGTTTTACAAATCCATCTCACAAATCTGATCTGAACTTGCACCACTAGCAACCAAAAAAGACCATTCATACCAAATTTCATCAGGATCCCTTTAATTTAGTCTATGGAGAGAAGCTATTTTTCCTGGCAGCCATCTTGGAATTGCCATGTGGTGCTTGCTTTCATTACTTCTCTCCATAGACTAAATTAAAGGGATCCTGATGAAATTTGGTATGTATGGTTTTTTGTTGTTGCTAGTGGTGCAAGTTCAGATCAGATTTGTGAGATGGATTTGTAAAACTAGCATAAAACAAAACTGTCAAAGGTCATGTTACAATTTTATTTGCATGATCCCTTTAGTACCTGCACAAGTGCATGTTTAAAGGGAGAACATAGAAATGGAAAGAAAACAACCTCCATATCAGAAATATTCCATGATCTTTCTATGGTAGCTTGGTGCCAAAGTTCTTCTGGGATTTCTTGTTTTAAGACACCTGTGTTTTGTAGTTGTAGAAAAAATGTTATTCAAGGTTAGAATATTCAATCTAAACAAAACTGAAGTAACATAAATATGTCTTATGTTTTACAATCTATTTCAGGTTTGGTATGTCAACGGTATTGATTCAGGAGAAATTCCACCGTCCAAACAGCCCAATAAATTCATGTGGTAGACTAAGTGTATCTACTCATTAAATGACAGTGAAGTGAGCAATTTAGGTGGAATAATCAATTCGACTGGAGGAACACTTTTTTCAGATTTTGTTTTAAGTGGATGCAGCTATCCTATTAAATGTATGAATAAAAGATATGCATGTGTTCACTGCTATTCCTTGTTGGATTTTTTTTTATTATTTTGGAAATTTTTCCGAATATGTAGTTATGTACCAGTGGATTTATGTTTTGTGATGAACTTCCATTCATTCAGTTCATATTTCAGCAAAGTATAAAAAAAACATCAACTTATACAACATTCATGGTTTGGTTTAATTTTGTTTAACATCCTATCAACAGCTAAGGTCATTTATCATTAGTCCCCCATCGGGAACCGTGGGGGACTATAGTTTTGCGTCATGTCCTTCCGTCCTTCCGCTATCTTGTCCGGGCTTTATCTCCTACACTACTTGTAACTGGAACTTCATACTCGGGGTATGGATTCACCTTGGTGAGGCGGTGTGTCATGTATCAAAAGTAAGTAACTTTGACCTACATTTTGACCTCTGAGCTACATCAAAGAAAAAGTTTGTGGTACTCTATCTCCTACAATACTAGTCACTCAAACTTCATACTTGGTGTATGGGTTCACCTTGATGAGGCGGTGTGTCGTGTATCAAAAGTAGGTAATTTTGACCTTTGAGCTACATCAAAGAAAAAGTCTGTGGTACTCTATCTCCTACACACTACTAGTCACTGGAACTTTATATTTGGAGCATGGGTTCATTTTGGTGAGGCGGTGTGTCGTATATCAAAGTAGGTCACTCTGTTTTTGACCTTTGACCTGCATCAAAGAAAAAGTTTGTCCAGGCTCTTTCTCCTACACTACTAGTTACTGGAACTTCTTGCTTGGGGCATGGGTTCACTTGCATTGAAGAAGAAGCATACATAGTGTCACCAGATGCAATTTAATAGTAAAACGGTACCACCAACCAGTAAACATCCACCAGATTTATTTGCAATAGTAGCACTGACGCTATTCCTTATTAAATACGGTGGGTCTGTCAAACATTCATATATAGAATTAGTTCCTGCACAAATTTATCATCTGTGCATTTCACATTCAGAGGGGGACTATAATTCGCTGAGTTGTTTTGTTAAGAATGTGTTACAAAGGAAATCTTACTTCGGATTCAATGATCGGAAAATAACAAGCCCAATAAATAATACTGGGATTTGTTCCAATTTATAATAGCATATGTTAACTTATCGTCTGAAATAGCACGGAATTATAAGACCTTGGAAATAGTTAAGAAATTGAATTGCATTTTACCACTTTGTCATATGTGCAAAAATATGTTTCAAACTTTATTACACTGTATTATTTTAACAGAGGTCATTGCCTTTTCACTGTTTATGAGTACGCTGATATATATAGGTCATAGCACATGTATGTTTATAATGTGGACTGACCTATATCAGTATGGCATAACGTTATGTGTATTTTGTAACGAAACCCCTGTGGGAGAAGTGACTTAAAGGGTAAACTTTTAACAATAAGTTTTTCCTATTACATTATTTAAAATTTTAAACCATTTATAAAAAAAATACAGAAACATCAGCTGACCTTATACCTTTGTATGTTATTCTCGAAATTTTGAGATAGGTCATTTAATATATGTACGCTCTACCGAAGGAGAAATTCTCCCTAGCCGAGTCGGTAGGAAGCGGCTAACGTATTTACCAGGGTGACATTACTAGTGATTTACCCTTTTTGGCTGTCTACCTATTGTTACTTAATTAGAAGTCGATCTTTACGTTCTGGATTTATGGAATATCTTCACACATTATTTCTGTTCGGTACTAAATGGGTAGTATTACTATCTATAACGGGTAAAAGATAGAATTTTTAAGTTGCTAAGAGGCCAAATTAAGTTCTAAAATTTAAAAAAATAAGTCCTAAACAGGGCTTGCTAATTAGACGGGGGATATCGAAATCTTCTTTAGGTCTGTCCAGACTAAATTAAAATAAATCATAGGCGTAGTAGCCATAACGCAGAAACGCCCGTGCGTACACTTCAAAAAATCAAGTACAGTAAAAATGTTGATGTACAGTATATTAGTACGCCAAACCACCTAAAATACATTAATTATGTAAACCAGATAAGATTTTTGTTGTCAATTAATTATCTATTTTAGAAAAACGTATGCAAAGTTACTTAGTTAGCTAATAAACAAGAGTTATCTCGCTTTTGACAATACATCTGCGACACGTAACGAATCGATCCGGATACATCCGCGGCAGATTTGGTCGAAATTTAGTATTACAGGAAGTTGTTACTACACAAAAAACAAACATGGAGAAAAGGCAGAAAACAAGGAAAATTGACTCCTTCTTTAAACCAAAAACCAAAGACGATGCACCTGTTGAAAGTCCCGACGTTACCCCTGGCGATTCCGGGGAACATGCCGACATATCGACAGTTGTATCTGTCCCACTACTGGCTCCACACTACCCTGACTTGGGAACTAAATTGTCGTTCGAAAGTAAAACCAAAACGGATCTTCTCCGACTGAAATGGGAAAAGGGAAGGGATTTTAACTTCCCTACAAGGTACGACAGTCGTCTTTTTTATATCGAAATTAGGCTTAGTTAAAAATGCAGTTAAAGTCTGTAATTTTTAAATATGGTGCGGCCTGATTTAGTCTAATAATATTAATTCGTAATATCGTATACACCCTCTTTTAAACCCACTCCATTGTCTCTGTAAATTTGTGTAAATTAATACATTTGTAAGACGAAGTTCATTTTTATTTTCTATTTCCTTAACTTTTAAGTTTGCAGGTCGCTCTATGTAGTGTATGGGTGGTGATATTTGATGATTATCATCGATTTGTGGGTAACGCCCTGTATATATACACACTAGAGCTTAAACATCTGACTAACAATTTGTGCTATACTACACATATACAATCCAAACTGACGTTTTCAAAATGTGCATAGTAGAAGAGACTCGACGTGGAGAATGTAGAGGAGCGTGGGGTTAGTACGATCGGCAAATCTAAGTGCGTATCAAAATAAAATAGAAAAAATTAATACCAAATAACCATATAATATATATATATATACAAGATCTTACTGCATACACCTGCTTCTCCTAATAAGTAAATAACAATAACTGTTGTTCAAAACAACTTGCGACAGGATCATGAAAGTAAGACTATTCCACTAAATCGTGCTCAACGTTTATCAACGATAAGTGCCTAAGATAAACATAAACTATGACAACCTATTGTTCTTCTACTGCATACTGAAAGACTGGGAAGTGAAGCTGACGAAAAAACACTCAATCAAACAACAACCAAGGTCTTAGTGGATACATCACACGTCCGACTGTCCGTGCTCCAGATAGGGTCGTTGATAGTCCACTGTTACAAACCTGTACAAAATGTCATTAAGCTAGACAATCAAGTTTTCTTATAACAAACTCGATTAGTTTTGCTTGTCGTGATAAAAATATAAAAATGGCAGTACACACGAGATTTTCCATAAAAAACTGAAAGATTCATACATCGCCAAAACATTGCGTAGCGCCAGCAAACCAAAATATGCTTAAGCTTTAAAGGTCAAAAATGATATTCATTGCCAAACTATCATATTCAGGAAAAACAGAGCTTACCTTATATCTACCGTTAGCTTCGATCTGTGTTATAACAACATGAAGTGTGAAAAAGGAGATATCCGTATCATAACGGGAATCAGGATGCTGGTAAGATCCCTACATTGTCCAGAATTTAATGCTAAATACAAATTACGTAATTAACACGTATACATACGCTCGAGTAGCCATTTGTCTTATGAAGATAATACAGTACTAATGACTTCGAAATATCCCACATTACTTGTTATTATTTTTGACCTATGTACCATATGCTGGAAATTAGCAAAGGACGTTTAGTATATTGTGTAAAACAATTGCTCATGAAACAGATATTCTGGGACGGTGATTGAAGTAATATTGGGACAATCAAAGAAGAATATGCCAGAGAAAACTTGTAAGTACATTTTGAAAAAAGAATTCTGATCATTTCGAGGGTGTTCTAGCTAGATTTTGTTTTGTGTGTATATTTTGATAATACTGTATCACAGAAATGTTATAGTTATATCTCCTGCACATAGGGATATATTAGCCATGCAGACATACACACACATATGGAGATATTAGCCAGGTGACATAGGACTAGTAGTTAGCGCCTGATAAGGCAGCTCCTGCGAATTTCTCAAAAATTGTAATGATTAATGTAGATGTGTATATGCTAATTGTATTAATTGTATATCTATGTACTGTAGAGCTCTTTAGAGTGGCTTATGCTAGCTAAATAGGGCGCTATATCAAATTTTGTATATTATTATTATTATCATAATAACTTCTTAATACCACATTTCTGGAATAGCAGTTATGGTGTAAAACATCTTATTATAAAGGATCGAGAAAAAAAACAAATGTGTGAACAACAAAAAACTGAAAAGCAAGCGTTATTTGGATATGTTTCATTTTTAAATTTAGATATGAAATTTTAGGTTGGAATGAAATTATTTAGAGAAGGCAAAGAAAAAGAGAAGCATTTGAAACGCATTTTCCCAATTTAAAAATGGGGATGCGATGTCTACAGAGCCTGTAGTATAGAAATATGTATGCAACCATGTACTCTAGTTGCAAGTGTTCTAGGCTCATCTGATGTAACTGTGTACATATGCATATGACAATGCACAAACGAGCCAGCATGGTAACTGTGACTTCAGCATCGATTTGAAATATTTTTTAAGCAATATTTAAAAAGCAGAATGTTATCTCCTACAACCCTAATAGTCCTCTGCCGCTGACATTCAGATCATCGACCAGAAATATGTACTACGTTTTTTGTTTCCTGATTTATTGCTAGCTTATATATTTTGCTCAGTCGCCTGAGGCGTGACCAGACTATTGTATGGCCATGTGTTTTTTTAATAATTGATAAATTTTAGTTCATTGACCGTATACTTGACAAAGTATTTTAGCATATTTTCGTAGTGTTTAACTTTCATGAAGATATAATGATTGTCTTAAATCGTTATGTCTTAGAACGTTTAAGACCAAAACTTTTCGTGGATTTAATAAGAGACATAATAGCGGTTGTTGTAGAGTTGTTTTGGGAACTCTTAAACATACGGGTCAGTTAGGTTTGCCTGTGGTATTTGTGTAATGGTTTATGTTTTCACTTATTACAGGCTATATATCACTTGCACACTATTTCTATATCGCCATGTACACATCTACTCACATCTGGTTTCAAAGAAATACGAAAACAATTGTGAATGAAATAGAGTACGTATTTGGCTTTATTCTGTAAAACCTAAGTATGTTAAAATCCTATATGTTTTTTATATGTGTGCAAATCGTGAATTCTGCAGACCTAAATTCAAAATTCACTATGACCAGATTAATAATGTCTAAACTGTTACTGCAATGCGTCTTCTAGTGTTTCCAGACATGGTGGCGATTACGGACACGTTAGTGGTAGCAACCATGATCTCGGTGAGAAATATGCTATCATCTTGTATGATATCATGGAAGTAATGTTTCATTATGTTCACTAGTTTGCCTTTTCGTGTCATTCTCACAAAGAATTGTAATGAGTATGTCCACTTTGAAAAAGCATTAAGATTTACACATGCATTACATTGTACAAAATCATTCGGAAGTTATGGAAGTGATATTGTTTATATTTTCAAGATAACAAATAATTCTGCAATTCAAATGGATGTACAAATATTTAATGAAAAAACAAAGAAATGGGAGAAAATAATATGGATTTTCGGATTAAAGCAAGGGAGAATGATTCGTTTTTTGGTGACCTAGTGGACAAGATCGTTATCCAATTTACCGTGATGAAAAATATTTAGGTACAAACCACTGTAGTTCAATGTAGATCAATTGTCCGAATGCAGAATTTATTATATATCCATGTGTAACAGAATGTAAGCAGGACTCTTTCAATATTGTAAAATATGCATTTGGTGTATTTCTATGCAAATGTGACACCTGCAGTGCGTACAGCTTACTGGCCAATACGACTGCAATTAGGTTTGGTTAAATACCCGTATTTTGTACAGTTTTTCTGATTTTTAAGGCGTTGACCTTTGGGAAATTCCAGAAAACGTAATTTGCGGTGAGAAAACTACGCCTAAATCATCTTTGTACTTTGGCAAAACTTTGAATCTTTTAACTGTTAGGGCCATGGTGACTTTATCAACAAACATGATGTGAGTAGCGTAAATAAAATCAGATACAAATGAATATTTCCAAAAGTATTAGCACGATATGTGAAAATTAAAATATGAAAGCGGTTAACATTTTTAAGTTAAATGGATAATGAATAGTTTATAAGGAATATGTTACGCATAGATAACGTCAAAGAGAGTAAGGTGGGTTAAAAGACATCAGAGTCAATGAAATAGACCAATGTCCTTCAAAAAGTTAAACAGCACTTTCGAGTCCACGAAACTGAAAAGAGTTTTCAAATCAAGGACTCGAAAGTAATTATCACTTATGTGTCTGAAATCAAAACAATCTATCAAAACATATTCTAATGTAAATGGAGTGTCACATGCGTGGCATGCAGGTGGATCTTTTCATTTTAAAAGGTACGAATGAGTAGGATTAAGTGTGCCAAGTACGGAGTCGAGAGAGGACAACTTCCCCTTTGTGATCTTTCCGACTGGGTACAAATATTTTATATTTCGGTTGTACTTTCAAAAGAAATGTTGATGGTTTGGAGAGACCAGCGTTGAAGCCATTAATTTTGATTGGCAGTTCGAATAATCGGTTTAAAATCTGTATACGGTAGTTTGATATTTGCTTCTCTGTCAACAAATTCGTTGCCTTTAATTCCGACATGGCTCAGAATCCATAGTTAAGTAGTTTGACATTTCTTTAAGATACGAGATATGCAAAAACTGATGTTTTGTGCGAGTGTGTTATAAGGATCTCGTAACTGTAAACGGGACAGATAGAGAGTCTGGTCAAATTGTTGCCATTTTAATGCAGTGTTCATCGATTTGGTCGAGGGCCAAACCGATGGCGCATGCTTCGACAGCACATATAGAGGCGCCGTCTGGTAGTCGAACTGAAGTGCAAGATTCAGCAGAACACGAGGCTGCTGTCACTTTTTGGCCTTCTTTGCAACCAAGAGCTGGAAAGCTGTGTATGAGCAGGGAACTTTTATTTGCATTCCCGAAAAGAGGACTTGTGTTTTTCGAGCATTACACTGGATTTTCCAACTCATGTATTGTACAGTTAACATCAGGTATTTGTATGGTCCATGAAGTAACATCGGATATGTTTTATTCAGCTATGTTAGTCAACTTTATGTTGAGTTCCTGCAGGAAATTTGCTTTTAGTTGAACTGCAAATTGTTAAGCCAGATTTTTCCTTTTGTTATAAAAGGATGGTTCATTCGCTTCCATGTACATTTGTAAAGGCTTTTTTCACAGATGTTGTTCGAAAAACTCCAAAGGCAAGAAAAAGCACCTGGTTATGGATTGGGTTTAACATCTGCAGATAAGAGCTGCGCGCTGACCCGTATACCATATAACCATAATCCAGTCTTGTTCAAATAAGTGATCTGTATAGGCGTAAAACATTTCACGGTACGTTCCCCAATCAATATGAGAGAGGATACGCATAATGTTTAACGACTTGGGACACTTATCTTTAAGATACTTAAATATGTGGTCTGAAAAAGAGTTTCGAATCAAAAATTGGGCGGAGAAATTTAATTTAATCACCAACACGAATTTTAATGCAATGAGGTGTTAGATTTGAGTCATTGTGTACTTTTCGTTTTTGACAAAAATCCATGCACACAGTTTTGGTGTTCGAGCATTTGAAGCCGTTTACGTTTGCCCAAATTTGCAATTTGTTTCAACTCTCTTGAACTTGTCGTTCTATCGTGTGCATGTTCTTAAATCTGTAGCAGATCAAGAAGTCATTCACGATTCACGAATAACGATCCTTCTGTTAACTGACCAAAACATTTACCTATTTCATTTATTTTGGACTAAAAAGGGGTGACTGATATGATTCCCTCCTTTGGAACTCCCATTTCTTGGGTTGAACCAGCAAGGACTTTGGAGTGTCCTGCGGAACATCTTTGATGATGCCATATTGCTATGTAGTTTTATGGGCCTTCTTATTATCAAAGCACACAAATCAACAAAGTACCGCATACAAGAACATCAGAAAGTCTTCCAACTGAGTAATCTCTATGACCTCATTTTAACATCTACTAAGGGGCAGAATGAGTAAACATGTTACCCATCCCTGACTGCCTGCAGTATTCAGTATTGAGTGCTTTTCGGCGAACTGTTTCGATATTATGTGACAACTGACTTTACTGATCGGCACATTGTGGCTTAGTGAGTTATTTCTCCTTGCTTGACAAAAGAAACCAATGTTTTTTTTTATACATGACATATTAGTATAACATTTACATTACTTTTTTCAGTGACCAGAACTTGTTGTGTTAACACGTTAGATACAGGTACATTTAGTAGTGTGAACTATGCCCGAGGCTTTGGTCCATGTGTTGCATGCATGTCCTATGTTTATATTAGAAAGGTATCAACATTTCAACATCAATTAATGATAACAACTAACCACTACCTATAAATATAAGCCCACTATCAAGAATCCATAAAAGTGTCCGAGATTGACTGGAAGACCAGCATTGCGGGTAAGTGTTGTTTTTAGACCAAATTCCCATATCTATACCCTAATGTATGCACTCAGACCGACGTCTGTTAGGTTCTATTAGCATTTTGTATAGGTATGCGCAGGTCTTTCACGTTTTCTTACCTGCAAAATGTGAGGAATATCATACTTAGAACTGATATTGTGTTAGCACTCGTTGACCTGTAAAGCAGCAGTGCGAGAAGGAAAAGAATTATTCATAGAAGTCATATTGTGATAAAACGAATTGTCCTGACCTGTAAATCTCCATACGATCTTTATTGTGTACGCACTTTTTGACAAATGAATTAGCAGTGCTGGAAGTATAATATCATAGGATGTGTTTAAAAGGTAAGCACACTTTGATATGTACATCAGCGGGACTTTTATGGTGATAGCGCTGGTTCTTCAGTACATCAGAAGTGTGGGTAAGTAAAACACTATTTGTAGGAGGTGTATTGTGTTGATATGTAAATCAACAGTTTTGGTTGTTCAAATATCATTTGTAGGAGATTTTTTGTGTAAGCACTCTTTGATATGTACATCATTAGTGTGTGTGTGTTTAATATCATACGTGGGAGTTTTTTGTGTAAGCACTCGTTTATCTGTACCTCAGCAGTGTGTGTGGGTTGATATTATACGCGGGAGTTTCATTGTGTTAGCACTCGGTGATCTGTACCTCAGCAGTGTGGGTGCGTTAAAAATCAAACACAGTGTTTTTTTGTGTAAGCACTCATTGATCTGTGCATCATTAGTGTGTGTGGATTTTATATCACACGTGGGAGTTTCATTGTGTTAGCACTCGTTGAACAGTATCTCAGCAGTGTGAATTCGTTAAATATCATACGTGTGAGTGTTATTGTTTTGACATTCGTTGATCTGTACCTTAGCAGTGGGTGTGGGCTAATATTATTCGTTGTAGTTTTATTGTGTGTTAGCACTCGTTGATCTGTACCTTAACAGTGTGAATTGGTTAAATATCAGACGTGAGAGTTTCATTGTGTTAGGACTCGTTGATCTGTACCGCAGCACCGTGGGTGGGTTAAATTTCACACACTGTTTTATTGTGTAAGTACTCGTTGATCTGTACATCAGCAGTGCTGGTGGGTTAAATATCAAACACAGTTTTATTGTGTTAGCATTCGTTGATCTGTACCTTAGCAGTGTGTGTGGGATAATATTATACGTGGTAGATTCATTGTGTAAGCACTCGTTGATCTGTACCTTAGCAGTGGGTGTGGGTTAATATTATACGTGGGAGTTTCATTGTGTAAGCACTCGTTGATCTGTACCGCAGCAGCGTGGGTGGGTTAAATATCAAACACAGTTTTATTGTGTTAGCATTCGTTGATCTGTACATCAGCAGTGTGTGTGGGTTAATATTATACGTGGTAGATTCATTGTGTAAGCACTCGTTGATCTGTACATCAGCAGTGAGGGTGGGTTAAATATCATACAAGGTAGTTTTATTGTGTAAGCACTCGTTGATCTGTACCTCAGCAGTGTGGGTGGGTTTAAAATATCAAACAATGTAGTTTTATTGTGTAAGCACTTGTTGGTCTGTACATCAGCAGTGAGGGTGGGTTAAATACCAAACACAGTTATTGTTTAAGCACTCGTTGATTTGTATTCAGCAGTGCGGGTGGGTTTAATAGCAAACACATGAGTTCTATTGCTTTTGTTTTTCTCTAATTGATAGATAATAGGAACAGGTTAAGTATTATGCATAGCAGTTTATTGTGTTATTTGTTATAAATTTTATATCAGTAAATTCGAGTAGGTTGAACATGGCTCTTAATAGTTTGGTTTATCTCAACGAGTCGAAATCGTGTTTTGTGTAAGCTTCTATTGTCACATAATGTCACAAATATTTTACTTGATCCTATTTCATTAACAAGCCTATCCCATGCACCTCGGCGTTGTTGTTATCGAAACTAATTTACATTCCTTTTATTTGCCTTAGACTTATTATCATTGTTTAGTTCAGACCAAGAGGAATTACTCTAAATGATCATTATATATACTGTGTAAAAGTAAGCGGTTATACTGTTTATTGGATTGTAAGAAATGTATATATTAATTATATGGAGCATTTCATTCAACCTTCGTTTTCTTAACTCCCAGGTATACACTTCAAAATTTAACCTTACGATGAAGCTGACACTATTTGTTTTGGCAATATGCCTTTCTGTTGCGATGGCAGAAGAAACAACCGCACCACCCCCTGCATTTAACAGATTATGCAAATGTTCCAAGGAACTGCATCAAGTGTGTGGTGATGATGGAATAACCTATGACAACGATTGTTTGAGGAGGTGCAAGTAAGTGTAACCGTCCGACAACACAATTGATAATTGCACTTTACGGTACACTTGTGTCACAACCTTATATTTTTTTTCTTGACATATCATTAATGTTTCACTAGAACAACAAGCGATGTCAAATTTAAAGCAGAAGTACACGGGTACTTAAAACAGTTTCGCGTTTAGCTGTAGCGCATTGTCAAATGTTATCGAAAAGCGTTCAATTTCTACGTCATCAGGACACACTCTAGTCTACAGATCGATCTATGAACATATTTGAAGATGTAAACCTGTCATGTTTTCATTCAAAGACGGTAAAAATTAAAACCTGTTGTGTTTAGAATTCCCAACTCATACCAAAGGTTTATAGATAGTAATGCAAGGATTTATTTAATCATTTTAATTCATAGTAACAGGAAAACTACCGAAACAAAACAGCAGAACGGCTAGTTTTAAACGGTGTTATCAGCCTTCATATGATTTATGTAAATTAGTAGTTCCAATATCATTTGTCAGTTGTATTCCATAGTCCACCTATATACATTTGTTTTTTAGAAGACATATAACTCGCCTATAAACTCTACCCACTGTGTATAATTTTAGTTTCGTTGGTCTGCTACACGAAGGGGAGTGTGAGGAGGACCTGTGTATCTGTAACAGACGCTACAACCCCGTGTGTGGTGATGACGGTATAACGTACGTCAACGATTGCGAGATGGAATGCAAGTACGTAACTGTGTAGTGAATATGTTTATATGTCTTAACTCATATATGTTGACGCGATGTGTCTGTTTTTTCTAGATTTCATTTTCTTATTATCATGTACTTATTATACAAATTCATCTTTTCCAGTTATATATTTCGAAACATTACAAATATACAAATACTATTGATCATGCTCGTTATTTTACTGAAATTCGAACTTCTATTTTTAGTTTTGATTGTTTTCCTTTTTCTTTACTTCGGCATACTGCTACTTGGAATGCATGTATATTGCGAAATTAAACATTACTTCGTCTCAGCATTAAAACACTGAGATATTGCCATTGTTTTATTCCTCATAATCAACTGAAGTATCTATCTTATCATTTTCATTGTACTTTGTACTTATAGGGGAGTGCATTTTGACCACGACGGAAGCTGCGATAAGTAATATCAGGCTTTCATTATCCATTGCCGGAACCTGGACGTATGGATCAATGAACACACCACCCAAGGAAAGGCATTATGTCATTATACAGTATAACAACCAGCATCAAATGAGTAGAATACTTTGTTTTTGTATGTCACCATGTTCTAATGTACGTTACCTATTCATATGCAATCGGTTTATTTATTAAACGTAAAATACGTATGTGTTTTCTATTGTCTTATTAACTGTTAGGCGTTCCATCTGTGGAGAACATATAAAACAAAGACATCAACTAAGTTTGGTAGATGAGTCTTAAAGTGTTAGCATACAGATGCTTAGAATAACGAAGTTTATTATCTTATTTCCTTCACCAGTGAAACAAAACGTTTTGTGAAAAATAGAAAACATATTTCTCTAGGCAACAACTAATCAGAGAGCAGCATTTATTTAGCATCATAACAAATGCAACGAATCTTTAGTTTGGTTTTGACGTCATAATCATTGGACCAGCGTAACGCCGTTTTAGTTATTGAGGATGATAAGTGTCCATTTAATAGCATGGTTGCTCATTTCCTATTTAATATATAGTATATTTCAATTCGTTGAATACATTTCGTGTTCATTTATGTTTTTAACATTATATCAATGAATCCATCCCACTTGACGACTTGAATTTATGAAGGAATGGTGATTGTCCTCTCTGTGTTCACAAATAGTACAATGCAACACAAAATGGTTCACGGAAATATCTGGCGAAAAGGATGATTTTTTTAAAACCATACATACTCGAAGTTATATTCAAATGATGCTTAAAAGGAACGCATTTGATAATACCCAGATATATGTACGTCTACACGATTATAAAGGGCATTTTACATATTTGATAATTAACATTATAGAAAAATAAAACAATTTTATGCTTTATAAATACATTTTTTTTAATATCAAAAACGATTTCCAGGAACACAGCCTCACACACCCTTATACACACATCTAAGAAATATGTATCTTACCGATTTGAAATTTCTTTTCATGTGACATTTTTAAAAGATGAGCGTTATAAACACAGGTGACTTCACTTTTAAAATGTGGTAATAGATACAGTGTGTCAAAAAGTATATAACTCTGCATTATACCGCCATTTCGTCCACTCATCGGGGATACTAGGGACCAAAAACTTGGAAAATCCAAATTGTCTAATCTTCTTTTTGAAACACAGGGACAGGTCCGTAAAACCCATTTATTTATAATTTCAAAATTTATTTGTTCATGTTAAAGTGTGTAAACGTCAATTGTATCTTATATGACCATGCCACTACTCAAAAGTGTGTAAATGTCAATTGTACCTTATATGACCATGCCACTACTTAAAAAATGTGTAAACGTAAATTGTATCTTATATGACCATGCCACTACTCAAAAGAGATAACCGTGGCTATTAAGGTTACAACAGTTTGTATTTAAGTGCGAGTTTGTCCTGATATAATGAAAGTATCAGATTCACTAATTCCATATGAAATCGAAACAAACCTTCTAATCATTTTACAATAAATAATCCAATGTTCACGGAAAATGAATTCTCTCTTAATTCTAACGCCACACATTTTGCTTTATATCTGTTGTCTTAAAAAGCCCAACAAAGGATGAGATTTGTTCTTATTTTACTGACAAAGCCACAACGTGGCATTAATCAAAACCTTATAATTATTTAAAAACGCACAAATACAAAGTAGTTTGAACCATACAAAACATGGAAGCAAACACCAACCAAAATATACCAAAAAATCTTGTCTGTCATAGTGGGGTGGCCAGAAACGCCGAACCACAAACTATCTTATCATAATTATAATAATTTAATTTGAGATGGTTATGTTAAATATCTTTTTTTAAATACTGCAAGATATTAATATTACATTATGAGTATGCTACACCAGGTCCATATCTAAACAGGTAAGACAATTCTTATGGACGCTATATCATGGCGGCACACGCTTCCATAAGAGGAAATACATATAAAACAAATCACACATTCATAGATTAACGGAGGCTTTTATTAACTTTGATAAAATAATCATTGATGTTCAGACTTTATGGTAGTTCCTAATTAAGTATTTCTGAATGCAAATAAAACAATCGCGATGGTATATGTATTTCCTATTACATTTTACAATCAATGGTAGTTACTTATAACAGCACCAAAACGTCTGTGTTCTTTAAACATAGAAACGTGGTATCAACTCCATTGTCGCCAATGTTCCAGGTATCATACCTAAAGTAAGGAATCAGAGAAAATATCTTAATTTATCAACAATCAATTAATTAACAAGAAAGGGTAATATATTGACCGATAAATGTAATTATAGTGGTTATATCTGTGAATTTTGGACTGAACAGTTTGGTGATTGTTGTTATATCTGTGGGTATGTAGGGACTGAATAGTATGGTAATTGTTGTTATATCTGTGGGTATGTAGGGCCTGAATGGTATGGTAATTGTTGTTATATCTATGGGTATGTATTGACAGAATAGTTTTTTAAATGTTATTATATCTGTGGGTATGTATGGACTGAATAGTTTGGTAATTGTTGTTATATCTGTGGGTATGTATGGATTGAACAGTTTGGTAAATAAATCCCTCAAGCAAATATGGGGACTTATATCACTTCCTATCTTCTCCGGCCAAATGGTTTCCATGTGTTTTCTTTGCGTGTGCTTTCCGAATATTTATGTAACTTCACATGAGCGGAGGTTGGTATGTATATATGTTCGTAATGCGTTTAAGTTTTGACACACATGGCCTCGGTGGCCTCTAATTGATTGACACATGTATGACTGTACGTATAAGTGATGCCAACGTTCAAAGACTTTACTTTGCTCAAACTTGAGTAATTGTTTCATGGCATAGCTTGTTCTTTCTAATATTACATTTGCGATCGTGGGGGCAGTTGGAGGACTTTGAGTAATACTACTGACTGTTTCCTTTATCGTTGAAAGCTTTGTCGTTGCTGAATTTGTGTGAATGTACGGACTGAACTGTTTATTGTAGATGTTATTCTTGTAAATGTATTTTCTGAGAGAGTTGTAATACTTGATCGACTGTTGGACATTTCCATTGTAAATGCTATGTCTTTTTGAATGCACCGAGACTGAACTATTTTGTTATAAATGAAATTACGGTGTGAAAATATAGAATGAACAGTTTTGATTTCGTTTCTATATCTGTGTTAGCTATGAACTGAGCATTTCGGTAATTGTTGTAATGTTGTTTTATTACAAAAGCATTGATCGCATCGACAGTTTTTGTGCGCATAATAATACATTTATTTCTATATTTGTTACATGAACTTCTGAATACTCTCCGTCTATGATGAAAAATGACTTTAGTCACTCAACCCATTATAACAAACATTGATGTCATTAACTTGAACTGTAGCTGTATCATATTTTAGATGTAAATACAATTTTTATATTTACCTGACAACTCCCGTCATAATTCAAGGCAATCCCTCTGAAATTATAAAGAAAATCTTGATGTATTGGAAAATCTTAATTGGATTCGAAACGTAATCCTTTGATCCATATAAGGCGACGATAGAAATGACCAAACATGGACTTATGCTAAGAACGTGTGATTAATGCTCATATGATCCATCATATGATAATACTTTAGACGTTGATGAAGCTCAATGATATATATATATATATACATATTATATCAATAACGAATATGTTAAATACAAACTAACAAAATTGCACTGAGTTTCAAAGCGGTATTAAATTTATACAGTTTATCTAAAACGATAGACAGTTCATTGTTTTCGAACGTCTGGAAGAAGAGGGAAAATTTCTGTTGTGCGAATACCTAACACAGACTGATGACACAAAGTCAAAATACGCAACTTAGCAATAAATCTTTTTTGGACTTACTCGCAGTTCATGGTACACTCGTTAGCGTAGGTTTTTCCATCAATTCCACAGACAGGATCCCAAATCTCTGGGCAAGCGCAAACCTGTGCATATTTGTAAGAAATAAAAGAATGATAAAAGGGTAAACAAAACCATAATTTGAATTCATATCGAGTATTATTGAAAGTAAGATCTACACTGAGGTTAAAAAAGACCGAAGGGTAAGGCTTCCTCTGCTTTAACAACGACACATACAATGTAAGTCTCGGAGATATTCATTGTTGACAGCGAAGTTACAAAGTACACTTATGAGCGTCGATACACAGCTTCCCCATAGTTGGACGGAAATGTAGAACAAGAACATGATATAGCGTAAGAAAGAATGAAAGTATTTTATTTCAGTGAAATGTTTCTACCGCTCGAAAGAATACGACACGTAAAACATATGTTTCTTTTTATTTATTTTGTTAGTGATTTTATCTTTTAGGCATATGGTGAAACTGTTTCATTTAACACATGGTTAGTTGTTTGGCATATCATGACACTGAATTTTCAAGAGAACAGAACGAATAAAATTACAACTATCCACACCTTGTTATTAAAAGTACACATTCATATGGCTCTATTTTTGATAGAATCTTTTTCAGTTGACATGGTGACCAAAGAGTAAGTGATAACACTTCCTACGAAAACGCTATTTTATTACCTTACCTTGTTACAGTTTCCGTAATAATCCAAAGAAACCCCTCTGAAATGGTAACAAAAATATATATCAAATAGCCGAGGATTGCATTCTCATTCATGACGATGGAAGAGTGTTTCGAAAATTGAGGAAAAAGATAGGGATTCAAGTGACATAATTTGTAGTTATTAAAAGAAAGCCGACGATATGTTTTGAGAGTTTGTTTAGCCATTTCATGTTTGAAATGCAGGTTATATATGTTAAGGAATAACATAAATGGAACGCCAGTTGTTATACTTCACCTTTACCTCAAAACACCATACCATTGTATATAAATTCAATGAGTGATACCATATATAGGTTACGCACTCGTGAAAAATATCATTTATTATTAGCCACACGAGAGAAATATATCTGTTACTACTGAAGACACCAATACATTCTCTATTTATTAATTTTTAAAGCATAAAACATGAAAAATGTAATGCATTAAAAAAGGCCGTGGATTAGAAGCGTACTAATAAGCGCCATATTCTTGTGAAATCACGCTCGACAGCAAGCCTGCACGCCATTTTGAATGGGAAACTCAACGCAATTCCGACGTTTTCAGCAATTTTCTAGTATGATTGCTTATAATAATGTTATTAATTGTATATTCATGTAAATACTTAAGCGTGAGCACTAAACATTTACCAGAACGACCACTTATTCTACCGTCGATTCATTTGAATCTGAACAAAAAATCGTTGCCTTTGAATGCAGCGAATAGAAGATACCGTTATGATTGGCCAATACCAAAATGGGATATTTTCACACTGTGAAAATATCACTTTTGATATTTGCCACAGTGTGAAAGATATCAGTTTTATCAAGTTGGTAGAATCCGATATTTCACTGGCAAAAATGTAAGAAATATTATTAACTTATATAACATAGATGTGACGGTGTTCTTAAAACTCCTTCAGCATGGACAATATCAATATTGATAAAAGTACATTGGACATATACAAATTTCTTTTTT